TTAATTTATTTTGTGATATATTCATTTTGTATGGAATACGTGATGAATACATTTTATTATGTTGAATAAGTAAACTATAAAATTGTTGGAGTAAATATTCAATCAAATTGTGAAATTTAAAATTTTGATCATGTTTTTCCATTTTTCGAAGCTATATTAGTAAAACTCTAATTGCTACTTAGTCTACCATTAGATCAATATGAAAATTTAATATATAGTTTATAAGATGTAGAAATTAACTTTGACCGTCAGGATCTTTAATTTGAGAATTATACTTAGAGGAGATAATATTATAATTTTGGGTAGAATGACCATCACTTTATTTCTATCTCTAACTTATATCAGAAAAATGTAAATTCCCCCTTCTTTTGCCAATAGATTAATTTGGAAATTTTGATAAATGATTCCATAAATATATTACTATATTTTGACCACTCGGATTTGTAACTGGATGTCTGTACTTGGAAAAATTAATTCCACAATTTTGATAGAGTCGACAACCCAATTGAATAATGTTTTCGAATTGTATAAATCTTAATCTCTACCTAGTTAACCGTTAGATTAACCTAAAATTTAGATATGTAGTTGCTAAGACATGTTGATGTATTTTGATTGTTCCATTTTTTTTAAAAAACTAAGTGGTGTTTATTAAGGATCTCAATTTTATGTTCCTGAATTACGGATGCAAAATTTCAAATTTCCACTTTATTAATGGTTAGATCGAACTGAAATTTTTATCTAAGATTCTAGTAAATTATGATTCAATTTATCAGTTTAGATCCTGAATGTGAAACTTGTACTAAGAACAAATTTTTATGTAATGTCATAAAAAAAATAAAAAAAATTTGGCCGATCTATAACCTTTGATTGGTGAAACTATATTGAGTTTGTACTAGTTTTGGAAAAGATAAGATTATAAGAAGAGTATGATATATGGCAATATGTTTATTTTATTTTGGACATTTACACGAAAATGGGTTATTATCAATTTATGACTAGAGAACAAACATGATTGAGTTAGGTGGATGAGAAGATATGATTTGTTGATGTTAGGAAATGTTGGGGTGAATATAAGAAATCATTCATTATGAAATGACGTTTACTATCGAGAGTAGTATATTTGGTTTATACCATGAGACCTTGATATGAGCAGAGTAACACATGAGGTTTATGAAAGCAGAGAGAGAGTGGTCTGACCGTAAGGCTTTGACATTAACATATTACTCATAAGTCTTATAGAAGCAGGCAGAGAGCGGTCTGACCATAAGGCTTCGGGAAGTAAAACATAGTATACAGGTAAGGCTTAAGGAAGCAGGCAAAGGCGGCCTGACCATAAGACTTCGTGAGTAAGCATAATATACTTGTAAGGTTTATGAAAATGAGAAGGATGATTTTGAAGAAGTTAAGGAAAAATGAATTAATGACATCAGGATAATTGTGTTAATACATGATTGAATTATATATTATAAATAAGTTTAATGATTGTATGTTATGGTTAGCTTACTCTTATTTGTTTGTGCTATGATTGTATAATTCATGTTACACGTGAGCAGATAATTTTGCAGATGCGGTTGAAAAAGCTTAGAGATGATGAGAGACATGCTGAGAAAAACTTTCAGGAATTTTTGTAAAAAGAATAAATTTGTATTGGAAAAATATGTTGTGTAAGACTTGTAAGTTTAATTTCGAATTTATGTTAAGTGGTGAAGACTATATTGTTTAAAGTTTGTAATTTTGGAACTGTACTTTGGTTGAATTGAAATAAAGTTTGGTTGTTTATATTAGATATCGAATTAATTTAGTTTTTACTACTAGTAATACCCTTAAATTATTTGGGTGTTACACTAAACACTTGCGAAAATTTTTAAAAATTCTATTCAAACCCACAACTTTCTAGAATTTTTTTTATGTTTGATATGAAAGTGCTTAACTTTACCTTGCAAGTTGTTAATAAGGTTATGCAACTTTTGGCGTGGTTAAGAGTTATAACTAAAATATGTTTCACAATATAAGCAAACTGAACAATGTTGAATTGATCTGTTTTTGATAATGTGATTTACTACAGACCTGCCATAACTACTTAAGTTGCATGTATGAAAAACTGAATTTGTCTAACGTTTTACATTGTGACACTTATTTTAGAAATGTTTTGACTAGTGAGTTTTGAGAGACTAAAAAAAGTTACTTTTCACCAAGATTGAACCACCTCATTTTTCGCGGTCCCCACTATATAAATATGCACTCCCATTGACCCACGAAAATCACATTTCCTCATCTTTCTCCTTCACTGTGTTGTGCCATTGTGCTTTTAGTGGTGGTGCTTCTTTGTGGTGGTGGTGTGTGTTTGGAAGTGGGAGAACTTCGTAGAAGAGTTTCGTGGTGCAAGAAGGTGGTCTGGTGGTAATGGTGCTGGTGCAAAAAGGTGGTCCGATAGTGGTGGCGGCGTCAACAATTGGAGGAGGTCGTCTCAAGTGTGAAAGAAAGATGGAGAACCCTTCAACGATATGAAAATTCGTCCACGAATATCAACATCCGTTGAAGGGAAAATGAATATCTATATCCATTTTCCCTTCAACGAATGTTGATATCCGTGGACGGATTGGGTTACAATTTTTTTAAGTTTTGTTAGTTTATAATGTTAGAATATTAGGTTAATGTTATTAATTTTAGATTATTTATGAAGTTAGTTTAATAATTTAATTATTATATAGATATATATTTATGTTTTTCTATTTTTGTAGTTGTTTAATAATTTTATAATTATATAAAAAAATAAAGTTAAGCTGAATTATACCCTTAAACGAATGTGCAAATCCGTCAACGGATATCAGCATCCGTTGAATGGTTAACGAATATGGGCATCTGTTTCCCCTTCAACGGATGTTGATATCTTTTGACAGATTTACACATCCGTTGAAGGGTGACATGAATTTCGAGCATGTTGTTAATTGTTTATTATAAATTATTAGTTTAATAATTTAATTTTTTTTATAATGTTAGTATATACTAATTTAATGTTATTTATGATGATATTTTAATTATATTAATATTTTTATATTTGTTTGATTGATTATTAATTATGTTAATAAGAGTGATTATATGGAAGAATGGTTGAGTGATCATTTAGAAGACATGATACGTGATGTTGGTGAAGATAATTTTGGAAGAGCTAATTTGTATGATTAACTTATAAATGATTCAAAGCAACTGATGTACCCAGGATGCTCGAACTTTACACGTTTGTCTGCAACTTTGAAGTTGTTTAGTTTAAAATCAAAGAATTGATGGACCAACAAAAGTTTCACTGATTTATTGGAGTTGTTGAAGGAAATGCTTCTAGAAAATAATACTCTATCTATTTGTAATTACGAGGAAAAGAAAATTTTATGTCCAATGGGTCTCGAATATCAAAAGATACATGCTTGTCCTAATGATTGTGTTTTGTACATAAAGGGGTTTGTTTCACTAAAGTATTGTCCAACATGTGGTTTATCACGGTTTAAAAAGAAAATTGACAGAAACACTAGTGGTGAAGGTAATGATGGTGCCCCTGCTAAGGTGATATGGTATTTGCCTATAGTACCTAGGTTTGAACGTATGTTTTCTGTTAAAGAAGAAAGTGCAATAATCTTCTTCGACACCCAGCTGATTCACCATAATGGAAGAATATCGATGAAACATTTTCAGAATTTGGTGCAGATCCAAGAAACTTAAGACTTGCCCTTGCAACTGATGGTATGAATCCTTATGGGAACTTAAGTAGCAAACACAGTTCATGGCCAGTTATGTTGATGATATATAATCTTTCTCCTTTGTTGTGCATGAAGAAAAAATATATCATGTTGTCCATGATGATATCGGGTCCTAGACAACCTGGAAATGACATTGATGTTTACTTGAAACCTTTAATTGATGATTTGAAAATGTTGTGTGAAGAAGGGATCGAAGTGTTCGATTCAGATGTTCAAGAAACTTTCTGTTTGCGTGCAATGTTGTTTTGCACTATAAATGATTTCCAAACATATGGAACGATTCAGATGTTCAAGAAACTTTCCGTTTGCGTGCAATGTTGTTTTGCACTATAAATCATTTCCCAGCATATGGAAACTTGAGCAGTTATAATGTTAAAGGTCATTTTGCATGTCTCATTTGTGAAGAAAACACAAGTTACCTTCAACTGAAGTATGGTCAAAAGACGGTATATACAAGACATCGAGAATTCCTTCCTCGTAATCACCCTTACCGTAGATTGAAAAAAGCATTTAATGGAAGTGCTGAGGAAGAGGTTGTGTCCAGACCCCGCAATGGTGAAGAAGTGTACAACGAAGTAAAAACCATTGACATTGTCTTTGGAAAACATCAGAAAAAGACCTTTGCGAAAAACATTTGGAAGAAACGATCAATATTTTTTAGTCTTCCATACTGATATAAACTTTATGTACGACATTGTATAGATGTGATGCACGTTGAAAAAAATATTTTTGACAGTGTCATCGGAACTTTATTAAACGTGAAAGGGAAGAACAAAGATGGAATAAAAGCACGACAAGATTTGGCTGACATGGGAATCCGTTCTGAGTTACATCCACAATCAATTGGAAGACGCACTTATCTGCCCTCAGCCTATCACACTCTTTCTAAAAAAGGAAAACGAAGTTTTTGTAAGTCTTTAAGAAGTGTGAAGGTTCCACAAGGTTATTGTTCAAATATTAGTAACCCTCTTTCTGTGCAAGAGTTAAAGTTAGTTGGTTTAAAGTCTCACGATTGTCATGTATTGATGCAACAATTGTTACCAGTTGTTATTCGAGGCATATTTCCTGCTTATGTTAGAGGTATTTTGACACGTCTTGATAGCAACTCCTTTAAGGATTTACCATCCAAAGAAGTATCAACTTACACTAAGACTAAGAAAGGGAAGTGAATAAAGACTTTCAACAAAAGTACTTTCCTTATCTAAGTCTTAGATAAATATACTTTGCTAAATAACATTTGTATTGTTTTGTAGGTCACCAATAAAGGTGGGAATCCATACATATACATCTTAGAAGGTTTGCCAAGCAAAGGAGAGAAAAGGAAGCAACTAGGAGTGCATGTTGCAGCCAGCCGTGAAGCACATTTTCCATATTTCGCACGTGAAACATGCAGCCAGTCGAGTAGCTTCTCTTGCACACCTCTCTTAGGAGCTTCATGCACGTTGTAAACATTGCTGTAGATTGCTAGGCACGCTTCTCTTCACCTATAAAGAGAGGAACATTCCTTTGTAAATTTAACTTGAATTGATATAGTGTTATGTTGTTGAAGTGCATTCAACCACTTTCTTCGGGTTCAAAACTTAGAGCTGCTTTAGCTTGTTCTTCCTCTAGCTCCCTTCCTGGAAGGCTATATGAGTTAGAAACTCCACACACTCACATCCAAACACCGTGAACCATTTTCACAAACACCTTGCATGCGCCACTCATCTTCAACCAAATCTTCATTCCGCTGCCACTTCTGGATCAAGGAGCCGCTCACATCTTGAAGATTGAGGCTGCTTCTATCATTTGGCAGCAAGAGCCAGCACGTCCGCCCCTTGCTTCAAGAGCTAAGTTGCTCTTTCCTTCATTTTCTCCACTTCCGTATTGTGTTGTTCTCTGTCTGCAACTGTTTGATTTGTTTTTCTTCACTTCTGTGATTTGATTTCGTGTTTGAGTGGATATTTGTTTTCGTTCACTGTTCCTTAGTGTTTTTATTGATTTTAATCGGTTCAAATTCATTGTTTGAAGTCAATTCAGCTTTATTAATCAGTCCTAGGTTTGTCACGGTCATGTGCAAATGTTTTTTGCAGTTTTACCTCTGTCACGGTGTTTGATTCTGTTCAGCTGCAATTTTTTTTTCGTTTAATTTAAGTCCAGTGCAGTGATAGCAATCCATGGATCATACAAAGGAACAAGACACTGTCTAGCTTTGATCACATGAGCTAAAGCATTAAAACCGTGAGTTTCACTTTACAAAATTTGCATAAAAAAAATGCATCTCTGGTTTGATCATGTGCACACTATTTCTGTCTAGATTTATTGATTCTAATGCTTGAGACAAGTTAATTTGATGAATTTATACATGTTTCACGTGCTAGAAATCTGAAGTCACCACTGAATTTCAAAAAGAGTAGTTGAGTTGCTGAAAATTCTGGTTTCCCGAAACTGTCACAGTTTTTTTTCCAAAGCTTTTTGCACCGTACTTGTAGTCTTTGTTTGGTATTAGGTGCTTAAATTCTTCTAACTGATTCTCTGCAGTTAGTTCTAGTATTTTAGGAATTCTTTAAGTCATTGTTTGATCTATCCAACTTTGATTCTGCTACTTTATTCATTTCAAGTGCTGTTTGGCCATTTTTTGCTGCATAATTGGCAACTACAATGGTGATTTACAGAATCTGTGTGTTTCTGTGCATTGTGAACATTTGGACAAGTTTATTTTACCATTTAAAACTTGTGCACACTGTTCATTTGGTCATTTTCCAGCCAATGTGCAAAATCACCATTTAAACCATTAATTTTTCTTAAAATTGGAAGTTGACCATTCATTTTCGGATGCAGAATGTTTCTTTGCTGTTTCAGAGTTTAAACATGTTCACAATGATGATGTAAACTTGTTTGATGTCTCACTTAAGCCTTTGCACCACTGCCAAACAATTTTGACCCTGAAACCACCATTTTCAGTCATTTTCTGGTGCATATTGCATTTTCTATTTTTTGTGCTGTTTGGTTTTAGCCATATTCTAATTTCCATTTTTGGATTGGCAAAAGCTGGGTTTATGTTTCCAAATACAATTACATGATCCATACACTGTAAAGCAATCATAAAAAGCAATTCAAACCCTGCAATCCAATTTTGAAAGGTCAAAAATCAGAAAAACACAAAATCTGCATTTCTTTGGGGCATTTTGTCAAACAATTTGGTTTTTCCATCAAACACTTTCGCTGCACATGAATTTATTCCTTGTTTGAGTTTTTCTTGCTTGTTTAATCTGTTCTAGATCATTTCCTAGGTTCCTTTTGTGTTCCTTCGTTTATTCCAGCCTTTAAGTCATTTGAATTCAACATTTTTGGCTTCCAAAGGTGTTTTGCAATCTAGTTTTTAGTCATTAAAAATCTGGTGAAGTAAAATGTTGTGATGCTCACTGTTTTGCTGATTTGTGTGGATGTGTGACGTCTTGGTGAAGATTCTCAAGTCCAGGTAGCTTGCTCCAAAGGGGTAGCATATTAGGGAGTGGAAGACTTGTTAAATTGGCTACAAGCTTGCAACTCCAAGAGCACTTTTCCTTGCTGGTCCAGCACCAATTTCAGCAGCAAAACACACCATTTTTGGCATTCAACCAATCTGAAACCACAGCCACACTTGGCCTTGTTCAATTGTAAACATTTTTTTTTAATTGTAATTTTGCGTTATATCACGGAACATTTGCGTTTAATTTTTCTTTTCCTTTTGAAACTTAAGTGGCTTGGGAAAATGCTTTTCTAGCAATTCCAAGTCCACCATTAAACATTGTAATAGTCTAGACTCCACATCTTAGTGTGAAAGTGTGTCAAGTAGCTCTAAGTGTCACTTGCACTTTCACTTAGGGCCGTGTCTCATTCCTCCTCTTCATTTTGCATTCTCTCCTTACTTTTGCTTGACTGTTTAATTTCTGTTTTACGTCTCCGTGATATCTAGGTGCTCGCTCATATAGATAAACCTTCGTTTGGTTTCTAGGTGTATCTCATTCCTACATTCAAAAAAGCTTTTGAAAGACTTCTACCTAGAAACTTGGGTAAGAAACGTCAGGAGATACTCTGGCTAAGGAAGGACAAGGTTCTTAAGCTTGTCCATTGTGACTCACCTCTCCTTCTTGGGAGCTATTCGATTTCTTTTACCTCTAGAATCTTTTTAGAAGTCATTCATGAAAAATCTAAAAACATTCTTTGAAAAGTTTTTGACTCTATACTTGTTCAAGCCTTTCAAACTCTTGTGAAAACCTTTTCTCTACTTCACAAGTATGAGTCATTCCAGCGTTCAAGGTACTCTTCATAATGATCAGGAGAATATACAATTGAGAGAGGAGCTTCAGAGAACTCAAGCTCAACTTAACAGGACTAAAGCTGAGCTTAATCGAACTCAAGCTGACTTCAATGAGCTCAGACAGATGGTCACTAACCTCACTCTCAATCAGAGAGGTCAAAACCGTGAGGAGCACTTCCACAGGCAACACCATGATCGTGGTGATCAATTCCATTATAGTGATCAAAATAATGCTCATCATTATGATCACTGTCAACCACCTCCTAGGAGACACCACAACCATAGAGACCATCATGTGGAACCCAAACTTGACCTTCCTCCCTTCTATGGCAGAGATAATATGGAAGAATATTTTGAGTGGAAGATGAAGGTTGAACAAATCTTCGAGTGTTACCACATAGATGATAGGAGGAAAGTGACTTTAGCCACACTGACCTTTCAAGGTGCAACTCTCTATTGGTGGACCTCTATAATTATAGATCAAAAGATGCATGGCGACTACACCATACAATACTGGAATGAGTTAAAGGCAACCTTGCATCGAAGACATGTTCCAGCGTACTATGCAAGGGAGATCATGGACAAGCCCCATCGACTCCAACAGAGAAACATGAGTGTCGAGGAATATCGACAGAAATTGGAATTACTCATGTTAAGAGCTGGAATCAAGGAAGAAGAGAGATTCACCATAGCTAGGTTCCAAAGCAGCCTTAGCTATGACATCAGAGATAAGGTAGAGCTTTTACCTTATTTAGATCTCAATGACTTTGTTCAGCTATGTGTGAGAGTGGAAGAGCAAAATTGGAGGAAAGCTTCCACCAAAAGGACCTACCCTACTACATCCACATATAGGAAATATCCTAAGAGGGAGGGTAGTCCAGTGAGGTATTCAAAATCTCGCGACAAAGAAAAAGAAAAAGAGAAAGAGAGAGTGAGAGGAAAAGAAAAAGAAAAAGAGCGAGAAAGAATTACCTCTCACAAAGAATCTTCAAAAGAAACAAGGGGTAGAGAGACCAAATGCTTTAAGTGTGGAGAGAGAGGACATTATTCTTTTGAGTGTCCTCACAAACGGTCTACTTATCTCTTAGACCATCAAAGTGAAAATGAAGATTCTTCTAGTGACTCAGATACTTCTATATCTGAGGAAGAAGCCTTACCTTGCGAAGGAGAGTTATTATTGGTAAGAAGACTTCTTGGAAGTCAATCCAAAGAACTAGAACAATCACAAAGGGAAAACCTATTTAGAACAAGATGCAAAATCTTTGAAAACACTTGTTCATTGATTGTGGATAGTGGTTCCTCTTGAAATTGTTGTAGTTCTAGAGTGGTGAATAAGTTAGCCTTACCTACTATTCCTTATCCCAAACCTTATAAGCTTCAATGGATAAAAGAGGATGATGAAATAGTAGTGGACACACAAGTAAACATACCAATATCCATTGGCAACTATGAAGAAACAGTTTTATGTGATGTTGTTCTAATGGATGTTGGGCATGTTCTACTCGGTAGGCCATGGCAATTTGATCATAATTCCACTCATGATGGCTATACCAACAAAATAACTTTCCTCCATAAAGGAAATAAAATCACATTGATTCCTCTTACACCTGAACAAGTGAAAGAGGATGAGATAAAAATCAAAGAAAAATTGAAAAAGAAAGAAAACAAGAAAATAGGTTGGAAAAGCAACCTTCTCAAGAAAAGAAGGAGACAAAGGTATGCATGTTGTTAACTTCTTCATTAACAGGTAAATACCTTGACTCTTCTTCTCCAAAACATCACTTTTTTTCTTCTTTTTATCATGGGGAATGTTCAAAACAAAGTGAAACCAAAAATATATTAAAGGCCGAGACTTCTTCTAATAAAATTTTTGTCAAAAGGCCTTCATTTTATCTTTTTATCTTTGCATATATCTCCTTGATCATACTAATTTTTGCTATCTTTTGTAGATATATTTTTGATCCAAGAGGAAAACAAAAACCAAAGTTGTGCTTCTTTCTTTCTTTCCGATTTGAGGACAAATCGTTTTTAAAGAGGGAGGGAATGATGGCAATTCCTTTAAGGATTTTCCATCCAAAGAAGTATCAACTTACACTAAGACTAAGAAAGGGAAGTGAATAAAGACTTTCAACAAAAGTACTTTCCTAATCTAAGTCTTAGATAGATATACTCTATTAAATAACATTCGTATTATTTTGTAGGTCACCAATAAAGGTGGGAACCCATGCATATACATCTTAGAAGGTTTTCCAAGCAAAGGAGAGAAAAGGAAGCAAGTAGGAGTGCATGTTGCAGCCAGCCGTGAAGCACATTTTCCATATTTCCCACGTGAAACATGCAGCTAGTCGAGTAGCTTCGCTTTCACACCTCTCTTAGGAGCTTCATGCACGTTGTAAACATTGCAGTAGATTGCTAGGCACGCTTCTCTTCACCTATAAAGAGAGGAAAATTCGTTTGTAAATTTAACTTGAATTGATATAATGTTATGTTGTTGAAGTGCATTTAGACACTACTTCTTCGAGTTCAAAACTTAGAGCTGCTTTAGCTTGTTCTTGCTCTAGCTCCCTTCTCCGCTGGAAGGCTATCTGAGTTAGAAACTCCACACACTCACATCCAAACACCGTGAACCATTTTCACAAACACCTTGCATGCACCATTCATCTTCAACCAAATCTTCATTCCGCTGCCACTTCTGGATCAAGGAGCCGCTCACATCTTGAAGATTGAGGCTGCTGCTATCACGTCTGAGTTTGTTCTTTAATGCCATTTGTAAGAAAGTTGTTGACCCTCGAGTTTTAGATCAATTAAAAAATGAAGGAATAAGACTATTGTGTGAATTATAGATGTATTTTCCACCTTCTTTTTTTGATATCATGGTTCATTTGATTGTTCATCTAGTTAGAAAAATTCGAATATGTGGGCCAGTTTTCTTAAGGTGGGGTACCCTGTTGAGAGATACATGAAGATCTTAAAGGGATATGTCAAGAATCAGTATCGACCAAAAGTTTCAATCATAGAACGGTATGTTGTAGAAGAAGCCATTGAATTTTGTTCATGGTATATGCCAAGTTGTGAACCAGTGGGACTTCCCAAGAGTAGACATGAAGGAAAATGTAAAGGTAAGGGTGTAAGAGCTGTGAAAATTGAAAGTGTCAGTAGAAAAGAAGTTTATCAAGGTTATTTGTACATCTTAAACAACACTGTTGATGTGATTCCTTACATTTCTAAACACATTAATGAAATAAAGTCAGCACACCCAAGAATGAGTGAAAAATGGACTATTAATGAACATATCAAAACCTTCTTACAATGGTTTAAAAAAAATTTATGCGACTCCAAATGTTTTTGAAAGTCTGTTGAGGTTAGCGCATGGGCCGAACATAGATGTGATAACATATGGTGGACACTATATAAACAATATTTCTTTTCAGACAAAGGTAGAAGATGACAAAAGTAGAGTTCAAAATAGTGGGGTTACACTACAAGCTGAGACTGTGCACTTTGCTAGTTCTAAAGACAAAAATCTAATCACAACATCCATGAGTTATTTTGGAGTAATACAAATAATATAGGAAGTTGATTATGTTAGTTTTAGAGTCTTAGTTTTCAAGTGTAAATAGGTTTATATAAATTCCGGTGTCATGACATATGACTTTGGTTTCACATTGGTGGACCTTAACAAGATGAATTACACTGATGAACCATTTATTATGGCTATTCAAGCGAGACAAATATTCTATGTAAATGATTCAGCAAATAAAAAATGGTCAGTGGTATTGGAAGGAAAAAACATGCACAGATATGATGATGAAGATTCTCTTGATATACTTGAGACAATATCTTTTGCATCAAGACCATTAAAGACAAGGTGGATGGTGTAGCCGATGACATCCATGCAATTCAGAGTGATCACAATGAAGGGATCTGGGAGAAAACAATATCTTAATAGGTTTTGTGTTATTATTTTTTAAATCCTTTAAATGTTGTTTTATTTATCATATTTGATGTAGTACTAACCTTGTATATATTTTTCAATTATGTCGACCTCGGGATCAGGATTAGGAAAGAGCGGTTGTGGTCAATCTATCACACGATTGCCCGAAGTGACATCCTGACGCGTTGTGGAGGACATGATACATGTTGAGATTGACCCGAGATCATGTATGCCTTCAGGGCCAAATGCTGATAGGTTTAGGAGTTATCTGGGTATCTTATCAAAAACCCATGTTTCTATCGTTCTTGCATCTTGGGATGACGTCCTAGAGGTCGACAAGAACCTTCTATGGCAGGACATTCAAGTATGTTTACTTAAACGAAATTTGATATACTTTTTTCTTTGTTCTTATTATGTCATTAACATGTTCTTTGATTTAAACAACAACATTTTGATATTCCAAACCATGGGGTTGCCCACTAAAGCTCCCACAACACCTCGGGTTAGCACTAGAGGATCATGCTTTATTGTAGACCCTACTGAGTATAGTGGTCAGTATGAGTTGTTGGTTTATGGGGATCCTCCACACATTGTGGTTGTCGGACGAGTACTTGAGAGGGGCTAGACTATTCATGGTGTTCCCTTATTACCCCACCACGTGTGTGTGACGATTGACGAGGTTCGAGATCCCCAGGCTCAGGTGCCTATACCCACTTCAGAAATTCATTTTGTGGGGGAGGCAATAGGAACATTTATAGTCTGGCCTAGAGCATTGATCATGTCACATATTGCCACACCATAGGTATAATATATTTATTATTAGTATTTCTATGTTAAATTTAAAAATATTGATTGATAACTGAAAATTTTATCTTCAGTTCATGCGTCCTCAGAAGCAGCTGATGAATGAGCCAATTATAGATGAAGATGATGACATGGCTAAAGTGGAGGATGATCCTCTAGCAAAGCTCATGACAAAATTACCTAGGTTGTCTAGAGGAGCAGTAGAATTGTACTGGAATTTGAGAGTAGTTGGCCTCTAGTGCCATGTACTAGTATATATCACATTCAATGATGCAGGGAGACAAGATGTTGAATATTTCCATCCTTCAACTATGATGCATGTAAGATAGTTAATTTTGTCTTCCATATTAGTTATATTTAGATTCTTAGTTTCTAACAACTTAACTTTGTTGTTTTAGGTACATGGACACAATCATTGTGGATCAAGGTTGGTCGTCCATGTACGGATTTGTTAAACTTCATACCATTCAACCTTCTAGTAACACAATTGAGAGAAAACAAAATTATTTGCAAACATGGATGGCTGAGTCAAATAGAAACGTATACCTTGTGCCATACATTGATGGGTATGGGTTTTTCTATGTAAAATTTTATTAAAGTTTACTTAATTAGTTTACTAACTATTTATGATTCATGATAGGTCTCACTGGAAGCTAATGGTCATCATTCCCAAACAATGCAAAATTATATGGTTTTGTTTGCTGCTTAGGAAGATGAAAACTGACTTGTAAAACATGCTTCAAGGGTAAGTGTTTCTCTTTTTATGTTTCAAATTCATGTTGACCTTCAATTTTTAAGATAAATATAGTTATATTAATATTACCTTGTGTTTTCAATGTAAATAGAGTTATGCGTAAATCCTGAGGTCAACTAGTTCAAATCCTGTATCCAAAGGTTGTAAGTCATTTATAGTTATAATTCATTTTCTAGTTATTGAATGATCTAAATGATTGACTATTTAGTTTGTCATTTTAGTGTAATAAGCAGCTAGATTCATGGGAATGTGGCTACTATGTCATGTCTTGGATTAAGACCATCATTCGAGCTGCCATTACAGATGACTAGATTGAGGTAATGATGCTTACCTTCAATACTTTACAAATCAAATTCATCTTTGAACATATGCACATATCCAAACATAATAAAATTTTCTTCATTTTGCAGTGCTTCAAGACTACATCTTATATACCAGAGGACGTAATTAGAAAGATAAGACAAGAGTGAGCAACTTATCTTCTCCAAAGATAGACCTAGGAAGACTTCTATTTGTTGTTGAACATTAATTACATTTAGTTTAAGTTTAACTTTTGATAGTTTAGGTTTTGGATTCTTTTCTAGATATTTAGAACTTTGTTAACTTGAAACGCATAAAATATATTATATTTTGCTATTATGGGACAATTTTTTGTTTTTTTCAGGTGTGGTTTTATTGTAAAAATAAATATTTTTTTCTTAAAAATCATCCAGTAGACGTTTGTTATGGTATTGTCCGACGTCTATTGACGTCTATCAGTGTACAAAAAGACGTCAAATGGCTTATAGTACCAGATTTTGGAACAAGGGCTTAGACGTCGGCTATGTTGCAAATACGACGTCTATATAGACGTCTGACTGGTGTGTGATCCGACGTCTATATAGATGTCTGACTATGTGATCCGACGTCCTATTAACGTCACCCAATAAGACGTCAGCGGTAAATCAGACGCCAAAAGTCTAAAATAATAGACGTTAAAAGCCTTTTCTGCAATAGTGAGTGTGAGGACATGTTGACTAATGTCAAATTCCTTGGGAAGATAAGAATGAAGAAAACACTGTAGAAAAATATTCCTTAGCATTATCACTACGAAGGATTTTAATTGTCTTCCCAAATTGGTTCTTAATTTAATTAAAAAAGGACATAAATATGAACAAAAGTTCAAATTTCTCTTTCATTAAATAAACCTAAGTACATCGAGAGAATTCAGCAATGAAGGATACCAAATAATTAAAACCAAACGAAGTAACACAACTTGGTCCCTAAATATCAAAATGAATAGTTGAGAAATGAAAACTACATTGTGTTTAAGACCTTTTAGGATAGTAAGATCTAACATGTTTTCCTAACTGACAAGACTCACAATCTAAGACTTGAATGTTCTTGAGACTTGTAACCATCATCTTCAACTTGGAGAAACTTGGATGGTTCAAATGGTCATGCAAAAGTTTTGGGGATGAAGTTGTAAAACAGGAAACTAAAGAGCTAGGTTTTAAGAAATAAAGTCCTTGAGACTCGTGTCCTTCTCTAATCAAATGACCCATACTATGTCCCTGTATAACAAAGGAATTAGCAGTAAAGGTTACAGAACAATTTAAGGAACGAGTCAATTGACTCAAAGAGATTAAATTGTAAGGATAATGAGGAATATACAAAACAAAATCTAAATTCAGTGAAGGAGAAAAGGAAACTCTACCAATTCCCTAAGATGCAACTTTGGATCCATTGGCAACAGTAATGAAATGAGGGATTTTCATATGGACATGAAAGAAAATGAAGGAATGTTACCAAAGATATGGCTTGAGGTACTTGAGTTAAGGATCCATAGACTACGACCTTCCACAGATCGAGATATGCAGGCAGTTGACATACTCGACATGAAGGAGGGTTGACTAGGATTAAAAGATTTTCAAGACTTATACCTCAAAAATTCTTAGTACTCTTCATTTGAAATTCAGGATTCTAGATCATCATATTTAGAAACATGAGCAACTTTTTCTAGATATCCATCTAAGGCATAACATCTTACAATATGTGCATTGAGGATGTATACTACGACCATCATGTCCTCCTCGATTGCTTTTGCCTCCTCTTCCTTGTGGTGTTACCATAACTGATGTTTCAATACAATTAATTGAATTTTTGTCTTTAATTAATGTAAGTATCTGAAGAAGTCGAGTAACTAGGTTGTCCATTGATGGCACTCATCACCGGCTGACATTTGATCATGAACATGATCAAAATCTGAGTGTAGACTTCTTAGAACTAAGACCATGTAAAACTTATCAAGCTTCTTGTTTATGCCTTCTAAAGAATCAATCACAAAGAAATTCTTCAATTCCTCTACATTAGCACGAGCCTTTCCTATGTGAGTGACCATATCATGATTGGCTTGTTTAAGGGAAGTCACTCTTTGAGTTGCATCGAGACGTTGCATATCATTAGCAAAGATATAATGTGCTCTTTTTCAAAAGGAGAACACATTTTGTAAGGTCTCAAATTTTCTAGGACCTCTTGTTCGACAAACTACCATAGGATGGCACATAATTGAAAATCAAGCTTTTGCCACTGAGATTTTTCTTCATCGGGCATAGTGGAAATATCTTGTTTAAGATGATCATGGTATCCTTGACCAAGAAACCATAACTCCACGAAAGAAGACCAATATATATAGTTTTTCCAACTGAGTTTTGCAGAAGTAATGGTAGAGGTAGCATATAGAGGTGTTCCAAAACCAAAAACCATTATAAGGCCAATCGAAAGAGGGAAAATATGATTTTGAGAGTAGAAACATTAGATCTGAGCTATTGTCAACGAAACAGCAAAATAGGGACCACAACACACTTAAGAGACTGAGGCGAAATGGCCGACAATGGTGGGATGATGTTCTGACACGGGGAAGGCGGCTCGTGAAGCTCACGCTCCTAAAACCGAAAAGAAGCGAGGTGTGACCGCGCATCGGGAGGAGAAAGAAACAACGACCACCAGGGATGAGTCACGCTCCTCGAGGTGCTCCTTAACCCTTGATTTCGCCAAAGAAAAAGTTGCGACGGCAACGACGGTCAGCAACGGTGGATGACAATGATGACGAAACAAATTGAAAGCCTAGATTGTTGGCTCTGGATACCAACTTAAAGAATTGGGAAAAAAACTAAAATTTATTATTACTATTCTTTTTACCCCAATACATCATACTAGCCTATTTATAAGGGATAGTAGTTCAACATACAAAAGAAAAAGGCTCTTAAAAAGCCTATTAGAAAAATACATTACATTTTAACAAGGAGCTTAAGAAATTCATGATCTCTTTGTTGATTATTTTTATTTAGAGAAGAAAAATTACATCAAGAACACCAAAGGGTACAATAAAAAGGTTATATTTAGATAATTAAAGAAAATAAGTGCCACTTATAACAATTTTTCAATACAACTACTAACTACTTATATTTAATGCCTATTCTAACATTGAACATTCCTAAAAAATAATATCTAACATGAGAAAATGTTTGGAATGAATCTAAGTACTTGTATTACTGTTTAAGAGCAAATATTAAGGTGGAAAACATATTTTATGGAATAAATATAAGGAAACAAGATGAAACAACAGTCTTTTAAATTAAGATGGTACAACAGGGTGATAATACATTGACATTTACATTTTTAGAAGGTGTAAAAGTATATTTTTCTTACAACAAATTTTTGTTTCCTTTGTTGAACATCAACCTTTCCATTTTGGTAGAGAAAATAGATGTATAATTCCAAAGATAATTTCCATTAGAGTCGGATAGAAATATCATGCTTGACAAAGTTTGATCTGTGGATTTAACATAGTTACATACATTGTTCTCAAACTCTTACAAGTCCATGAAAGATCCGGTCGTTGCAGAACAAGTTCTAGCTTTCTCTTAGGTTCTTCAACATAGACATCAACCTTCCCGAAGTCAACCATTCCAAAAGTTGAACTCTTTCTGGCATTATAGCCTCCATATCTTGCTGCTATGAAGAAACGAAAACCAGGAGCAAGCAGCAGCACTATCTCTTCAAGTTAAACACAGATAGTGAAAGCAAAGTGAATTGGTTATAACATAGTTGTCAGCGTGGGAAGTGCCACAAGTGAAGTCAAAGTGATTTTAGAAGTCCAAGCCTAACGTTTTATCCCACCACCCAAGTAACATCTTCAATGCGTGTCACCTACCTTTTATTTCGGCACAGTTGTAGTTTCTACTGTAGTTACCACTCACTATGTTATACATCCTACAGTTAAACAAAGTATAAAAGAATTTTTTTTTAACTCAAATTCTTCGTCAAAGGAAAAATAAAACCTCCTTTGACGCCATGATTGAAGAGTTTTCCGGATGCTAGTTGAATGAAATAGGAAACCCTTTGCCGGGACTGATTATGTCTACTCTTCAAGTTAAATTCTATTAATATTTAGTTGAAATGGTTATACAAACGAAATGACAATCACAAAGGTGAACAAAACTTCTACTTCACTACACTTGATAATGCGTTTCTCAAAATATACATTTCTCTGCAAGCATATCATGTAGGCTGAGCAAAATAATAGTAAGTGTTTGCAAAGTAATGGTTGCTGAATTGAAGTTCACCATAAATATTTTACTTGTATGTTGGGGTTTTCTTAAAAAGAATGAGTTGTCATTTGTTCGACTATATTAAGGTAATTCGCCAAGTCTTTCCAATAGGCGAAATTACTCCAACCAATGAAAACCTTAACACTGAAGTAAATACAGAATTGTTGACTGTTCAAAGGGAACTAGGATAACCAATGAGATATTTTTACAATATAATCCGTGTATTTGCTTAGTATCCCAGTTTGCAAAGAGACAACTATTAGAAAATACAAACAAATGTATCTTTTAATATTTGCTTGTAACTTTGAAAACCCTCTAACTTATACAGCACTGCTGCTGTCACTATCACTATGGGCAAAAAATTAAGCAAAATAAATAAATTATTAATAAAACTAAGAACATAGAAGAACACTTTCTTACAATAATATATGTACAATTAATCAGAAAAAAAATGCATAAATAGAGACTAACACAAATAGGTATCTTCTAACTCTCCTCAAGATGAGTTTAGATCTCGTGATGTTTGGCCTTGCCATCTGTCAAACAAAACCAGATATCATTCACAAGCATATTCAATGCAGTATAATGTGAGTATAAAGAGAGAAAGTGTTATGAAAAAGTGACCATTACATAACTAGTACTACTTTTAAGAATAGTTATTAGAAGGGGAAATGATAAAATGATAACTTCCACAAACCTTGATAGAAGAAATCTTGCTAGTGGACTTAAATTGCTATTAGGATTATGTTCCTTGTTTTGTTGTTTTTTCCTGTTATCAGCCAGTGCGTTTCGGGTTTCTTCGGTGGACTTGGTCTCGCTGAATAGTTCCCCTGCTAGCCGCTGCAGGTCCTTCAATGAATCTTCCTTTGTACTGCACCACAAGAGAATGAGAAACATATACTTTTCTTTTTTTTTATTTTTCTAAAAAATTTCAAAAGAAGGCAAACCTTGCCAATCGCTGAAGCAACTGTTTGAGAAGAGCTTCACAGGATTTAGGTTTTGAGCCCTCCATGTTTATTAAAGAATTGATAACTGCCCGCCCAACTGCCCCTTCTGGATCATCAGCAATGGCCTGCATAACAAACGCAGACCATAACAAATTTTTCTAGTACCCAAAGAATAGCATTCTTCACATACGACTTCACTCTGTTGTTGTAATATCTCAAGTCTTAGTACAAAAAGTCATGCAGGAAATTAATAGTAATAATCAATTTTCAATAAAATTAAAGCTTGTACATTGTACTCAAAACTATAAATAATAAATATATGAAACATTTAATTATGGAATATTGAGGAGCAGTGCGAAAAGTATATGATGCTTTATTTGGACTTACAACTTATTTAGAACGAAAATATGGAATATATTTACTAATTTACCTCTTTTAAAGAAGGAACAAGTAAAGCAGATAATGGCACTGAGGATAACATTATTTTAGCACTTCCTTCATCATTATTAGCATGATGTGATCTTGACATGCCCCTGTGTGAATCATGTTCGCACAAAGTCTGAATAAGAAATCCCTAAGAATGTATACACACATTTTTAACTCAGCAACAGAAAATTACTAGCTCTATTATTGTGGATGTACCTTGAAGAGTCAAAGCTGCTAGCCTTTCCATCTTTCTTGTCTTCCTGTCTATCATTGTTGATTTTTCCTCGGGCCAATCTTTCTCGAGAATTCCTGAGCCCTCCTTGCATAGCAGCCTTTGCCTGTGAAGACAAACAGGTGGGAAAATACTGTTTATAAGAAAAATATCAATTTGAACAAGTAATCACAAATAAAACATGTTTCATAATAAATTGCAATTGAACAAAAAGAAAAATTTTCGGACACAGTTGTTCAAGAAATAGTCTAAGAATATAACTCTGACAAAACAAACTGGGTGGGTAACTCAGTCAATTATATAGCAACGGAAAATAATAAAATACTATACCACAACTAAATCTACTACATAATGGAACGAAACCTATACACAAGAAAGGGGGAGGCTCATCGTGAGCAAAATTAATCAACACGCAAGCAAAATTTACAACTTGTATCACAGAAACAGAACCTCAGCAAGATTTGCCGCACTGTCTTCCATTGAGGAATTTGAATTTCTGTCACTAAGTCCAAGTCGAGACCTTAGTGGCTGTGGTGAATCAGGCTCATCATGCTGGCCACGTAAAACAACAGTCCCACTTGTAGAAGCATCATCAAAAGAAGAATATCTGCTACTATACTACATTTAATAAAATTCTCAGTATGGGATTATTAAGAACAGCTAGAAGAACTTAACAGTTTCTAAAGTAACACAGCTTAATCATACTTGAGAGCTCTGGTCACCGAATATAGATGACCTTGACCCTTTTGGCGATCGAATAACAATCGTTCCTGATCCATTTCCGGATAATTCATCCTGCATATTGAAGATTTCAGAAGATCAAAGCTGTCCCAGGTTGTTCAAAATGATAGTTCAACAAGTTCATAGGAACTCCATCAATACTTCATGATTGACACATTTCAAATAACACTATCGAGATGAATTCTCCAAATAATTATACCACTACAGACAATTTAACTGCTGTTCATGTCTGATTAATGAGGAGCAACATTGGCTGTACAGAAAATTATCAGTTTCAGCTCAAGTATAGAAAGGTCATCAGATAAATATTTAGAGTTAACTGGTTAAGCATTGATCATGCATCCACTGTTTTGTAAATACCAAAACACCTAAAGGTTCCTCTATAAAGATGTGGCCGCTAAGTATATCATTCAATTGACCAGGTTAACTTATTTCACGAAGACAGGAACGAAAAGTAAGAGTCATTTACATCTTCAGTGTGATTGTCCAGATGCTCATCATGGTAGGGAACTCGATCTCTTCCAGAGGAACTTTCAAGTGACTCACTAAGTGCCCTTCTATTAGCAGATCCCCCTTGATAACCACTCTCAGGAGCTTTTCTTTGGGTTACCTGATTATGTGATGCTTCAGCTTTCTTCTCTCTAAACTGAGGTGGTCGAGAAACATTACGAAAGGTTCCAGTACCCTGTGATCCACCAATATTGAAGTCCCATCCAGCACTTTTCAGGGTTTTACCCTGATCACTGCAAATTAGAAATCGTCCGTAAAAATATTCAATTTGTAAACTAAAAACTAGTAGCCAACAGTTAACCTACCTGGGTCGATTATTTTCTTCACCTCTTACATCTCTAGCCACTTTTACAGTATCTGATCCTTCCCCTATCCCTCTTGAGACATTTCTAGGTGTTTCCAGATCTTCTTCCTTTATTTGATATTTTGGACGTTCTCTATCACATAATCACAAAGCATGATCATGTCAACCACAAGCTGGGAATAATACTTGTAATTTTCATTTTCTGATGGACAACATGCTAAAGTTACATAGAAAAAGGATTTCAGAAATTAATTGTGTCTCGTCATTTACTTTTTCTGAGATATAGAAATAGCTTCAGAATATATAAAAAGAAAGAACAAGGGGCGGATGAAATTAATAGGCAAAAGCAAAATTATATAATTACGTATATGAAACATAGACCTTTATCAATGATTCGCACCTTATTCTTTCTACAAGCTTTGAACTCCTCCTAGCATTCCGAATAAAACGGTCCTTCAAAAGTTCCTTAGCACTTGGCCTCTGGAATTGAATCCATTAAAAGGGGGGGAATTAAGAGCCTGACAGAGAGAGATCAACTTCACCAGTTCGAATTCAAGCTAGTCTAAAAAGCTACTAATTAGGGAAAACCAAATAATAAATCTCATCAAGTTGACAACAACAAATTTCAATAGGAAAAATATAAACAAATAGTTCTGTTATTCCTGTTATCGTAAGCCCAATATTTCAATAAATACTGTTTATTATTACCTTTTCCCCTAAGAAATTAAATGTTCTAGAAAAGCAGATTCAGTATAAAAAGGAATATCATATGGGTTCTCTCATACAATCCATAAATTGATCATTTCACTCAATTGGACTCATAAAGAAGAACCTTTTCATTACAACTATACCCAACAGAACTAAAGAAAATGAAATAATAAGTGTATCAAAAGCATTGACACTTGCCTCGGCAGGAACCTTCTTTAAGCACAATGAGACAAATTCTTTCATTGGACGGGAAAAATGATCATCTAGCTGAAGAAAATGAGATTAAATGTCAACTGCTATGATGAAAAAAATAACATCTGGGTTTGAAAAGTTCAAGAAACTTAAATGGTTCAAAACTAGAAAGTTTGACTAGATGGATACTAAAGAACACAACCTGCGGAGGATTCTCCCGGGGTATGATGAAAAGCACTCTCATAGGGTGAAGATCGGCTAGTGGAGGCTCCCCCTTTGCCATTTCAATAGCAGTGATTCCCAAAGACCAAATATCTGCCTGCATAAACAGAACACTCCTGTTACAATTCTAAGAACACAATAATTAGTAGAAACTAAAATAAAGATGAAAAATATAACCAAAGAGAAACATTACAGAAAATATATAGAATAAATATATTACAACCTTCTCATTATATCCATCAGTATTCTGAATAACCTCAGGCGCCATCCAAAATGGCGTTCCTACAAATGTCTGTTATGATAAAAGAAATGTTAGCATATCCAGCCTAAGATGAAGAGTAATAATTTAGAATTCCAGGTGGTTTTTCAACTACAAGAAGCCTTAAATGCAGTGAGGGTTATGACAGAATCATGCAGCCGATACTAAAAAAACTAGCAACATGAAATTCAGACTGCCCAACTCAAATTACACAGAATATCATGCACCACAATTCCTTCACTTTGGGAGTTTACACATTCAATTTGATTATCCAATTGAAAAAAAAGAACAATTCTGTGCTCTTGAAAGGATATTAAGAAGTTAAGATTAAGATCATCAAGCATAAAATAACTTACATAAATTTTAATCTAAATATGAAAAAAATACTGTATGAATAACCCATCCATGTTGAATTAACTTCAATGAAATATGTTTACCTTCCTCCTTGATATAGTCCTTGTTAACTGTGCAGAAACGCCAAAATCTGCTACCTGGTGACATTCCACTTGTATGTAAGTCCCCATCTCAAATTATCAAGTGCATCATTTTTCAGTGAAGTTCTATATAATAAAAATTGGATATAACCTCTTTCGGTATAACATACCTTTACATCACCATTCTCAGACAATAAAATGTTTGCAGCTGTATAATAGACATTTAAATACTGTCAATTGTAAAGCTAATACAAAGCAAAAAGAAACCCCATAACTACATGTGGACAGGGAGAAAGAAATTCAAAGGGGATGGGGTTGCTGCTGACCTTTAAGGTCTCTGTGAATTTTCCCTTCAGTGTGTAGATAATCAACAGCATGCAGCAAGTCACGCAGAATGCAAGCAATTGACATTTCATCAAGGGGATTACCTGCTTGGAGCTACAGAAGCAATACCAGAATTAACCTCACAGAAAAAATACAACAAACAAACCATATAGGAAATTATTGTCAACGGATATAAATATGATATACAGCGACAGAAAACCTGACCATTCAAAATATGAACTGTTTTCTTTCTCATTTTTAATGATAGAAAATTTAATAACCGGAAATGTACAAAGAAGGATAACAAAGTTCCCCAGAATAACCAAAGAGAGAAAAAAAATATTGAAACAAAAAATGTTATAAACATCCATACTCATGCAAACAAAATCAACCAGCGTATCCACAAATTCTGTTTTCATATACAAATAACAAGGTTATATTATAATCATACAAGAATTACAATGAAAACATCAAACTTCATTCAAATATATATTATAGTCCAGTTTTATGCATATCATTTTCTTTGGTCTATTTGAGTCTAAAAAGTGCATATCCCCTGCAGCAAACTTCTAAAGGAATCTGAAACTTGGACGAGGATGGAGTATTGAGTGTAGGGACTCTGAAAAATAGAAGTATTAAAGTAGATAGATGTATTAAAATAATGGAACCAAGCTTTTGGTGGTAAAATACACCAACAGTATAAATAGGAAATTTTAACATACGGTTCATTATCTTAAAACTGTCTATCTCTCTAAAACCTCTGTTTCCTACCTTTGCTCTCCCTTCTCTCTAGATTTCTTCAATCTTAGTTCATCTTTTCACGGCGTTCCTCCTGACATTCTAATGGTTATCAAGTCTCAAGTAGAGATGGGTAATTCATGTCGTGAGAATAGCAGGAGGCCCTAGTCTAAGGGGGGAGACCTTAGGTGAGGTATAGCGGGCTAACCTCGTGTGGCAGCTGATGGGTTTCCAGTTACTGCACCTACGAGTGCACGAATGGCCAAAGCTACGTATTCATACCCGTCCGGACAGTCAAGTTAAAGTGGTCGGTCAATATATGTTTATATGTTGTACACATGTGGTATGAGTATCTTAGTTGTTTGTTTGAATTGTATTCCCACATGAATATTAAATTACACTAGCTTACCCTTCTTTTCTGTCTTGTCATGTTTGTTCGTTCAGTTTTTCCTTTGCCATGATCATCCTGTGGATGTGAGCAAAGGGAGAGGAGTTTCTGTCTGGAGCAAGCAATGGAAGGAGAGGATCCATCTGTCTAGTATAAGACTGTTCAGTCTTGTACATCGTTCCGTATCAGCATACAAATTTTGTAAAGTTTTTAATCTTCTGGTTATTTTAGAGTAACTGTAAGTTAATTTTCTTTATAGTAACTGTTCTACCTTATTATTATGTGATGTATCATTAACATAGTTTCATACTATATTTTTGGGATGTTACACTAAGTACCCAACCATTGACACTCTGATATATGCTGAATGTTTCTCGCTTGCAACTATTTTCTAGTTAGAAATTATGCCCCAAGAATTCAAGTAATCTTTTTCTCTCTTACTTCTCTGCAAAGCATTAGGTTGGCTTTTTATAAAGGATGGTGTCTTATCCTAAGTCCTAATTCCCGGCAATTTTCTTTGTCTTCAGATACTCTTCGTTCATAAAAAAAGTAAAAGATATATCGGACAGTTCACGGATAAGCAGGAGAAGTTTCATTAAAGAATGATTCAGACATATATCAATTTCAATTTTCATGCACTGAGCATATAGAAGCAAGGACACAGAAGTAACCTACTAGATCAGCAACTGAACCACCAGCCATGTATTCCATTATTATCCAAAGTTTAGTTTGATTGAGATAGGAACCATAATACTCAGTAATGTATGGACATCGACATTGAGACAAAACAGCAATTTCCTGAAAAATAGTAAACTAAATCAAAACATGTTTATTTGAGTACAGCAAATGAGAGTACAAGTAATCTACAAAATTATTATACCTTCTGGATATCATCAATTTCATCCTCCCTGCCAAGTGACAAAAAGAGAGGAAAGACAAATTAGGAAGTAGTAAGGAAGAAATGAATATAGATTCTGAGTGCAGCATAGCAATGATACAACGTTAATAAGATCTGTGAGGGAGAGAAAACTAGTATTTAACCAAAAAACACTAGAACAAACTTCCTTGGGGGTGCAGAATAGTGTTCATGGCACATGGAAACGTGGCTGGTGCATTCATTACTCCAAATGGCATCACAAAAAATTCATAATGCCCATGGTGAGTCCAAAAAGTCGTCTTCTGTATATTTGAATCATGCATGTGAATTTGATGTGAATTTGATGTGAATTTGATGATATCCCTCAAATCCACTTTCGAAAAGAAAAGAACTTTGTGCAACTCATCAAGTAATTCCTCTGTGACTGAGGATAGGTAATTTGTCAGGAATTGTTTCCTTGTTCAATCCTCGGTACAAAACTTCCAACTCACATCTTTTTTCTTAACTAAAATAATTGGGCTGGAATAAGGGCTATTTTAGGCCTGATGACCCCTTTATCTCAACATTTCCCCTACATATTTCTCAATCTCCGTTTTCAACAAGTGAGGATATTTATAAGGTCTCACATTTATAGGGTCTATCTAAGACTTGATTGGGATTTTATGATCTATTTCTCTGTGAGGTGGCAGTTCTTGAGGTTCCTTCCTCACATTCCATCAACACTAAATTCAGTTTTGCTTGTTGATTGTCCGTAAATCCATTTTTCATATCATTACCTGAGTTTTGTTTTGCAGCTCCTACATCCCATAATATTGATATAGCTTCTATTTTTGTTTCTTTCAACAACGCTTGTGGGGTTACTAATGTTTTTGCTAGAGCTGGGTCACTTTTCATCTGAACCAGCTGACATTGTGTGCTAAAACTCAGTTAAAGTCTTCCAATTCACCTTAACATCTCACAGAGTGGCCAACCAAGCTACCCCTAAAATCAAATCCACCCCTCCTAAGTCAAATAAGAAAAACGACATACTTCTCCAGCTTCACCTCTACATCCCTGCAACATCCACTCTTTTATTTCCTATTCTTATCTCTTAATCATACATCGTAGGATGAAGTTGTTTCCACTCTCAAACCAGCAACTATCTATCAATATCAACACTGATCTTCCCTTCATCATTCATTGTAGCTTCATAGTGTTGGATTGGGTCAAACCTCTTCCTGAAGAAAGAGACAATTCCCATATGTTGATGTTCAAAATCAACGAATTCTTCTTCACCATTATCCAAATACTCCTCCGATAGCAGCCCAAGCAAGCAATTGGATAGTAGGCCCAGGCCCATTATTTAAAGTGTATGGGATGAGGAATAGAAGGGTGAGAGAATGATGAGCTGGCACGAGAGTGTGTTGCGCACGAGATTTTCTGATATATTGGGGAGGGTGAAGATAAAGGGTATCATTGGGTATTGGAAGTTTGTTATGGGCAGGGAGCAATAGCACGAGATTCAAACTCAAAATGCGTTGATCATGGAGAAGCTAGATGCCTTGAATGATCAGTGAAGAAAGAAAAGAACAGGTGACGATTCTACATTGACAAGGAGGAAGAAGTCCACTAAGAGAACCATGACACAGAGGAGTTCATCAGAGGGATTCAAGAAATTGCAGGGTGGTTCGTTGGAAGAGTTTCGTCAATCAGTTAACAAAACTGAGCACTCAATGTTTGATGGAGAAGACACAATTGGGTGGATTTCCCAAGCTGAAGTGTATTTTCGAGTGCAAGAAACGCCAAATGATGTTCACGTCAACTTCACGCATCTATGTATGGAAAGACTGACAATCCATTTCTTTAATTCTCTTTTAGAGAATGAAGAAGAGTTGTCGTGGGAACAATTCCAAAGGGAGCTTCTCGATCATTATGAAGACAATGGCGCAGGGGACGTTTTTTAGCAACTCTCCAAAATTAAATAGGAAGGGTGTGTGGATGATTATATTTAATGATTCAAACGTCTTAACATGCAGGTAAAACGTATTCCTGATGAGCAATATTTTTGGTATTTCTTGCATGGCCTAAAAAAGGAGATTAACGGACGTGTTCTTAGCTTTTGTTCGGTGGTTCCTCTATCGTGGGCACATTTTTTGAACCTAGCTCGTGCTATTGAAAGAGAAGTTGTTGGAAGTAAGGCGATAAGTATCCAATTCGAGGCACTTCGGGTTCTCTAGTGGATTTAGAGGCTAGGGAAATAGAAGGAATGGGGATTCGGGCTAGATTCATATGGGTCGTGGAAAGGATCAGTTCAATGAGAAGGGACTAAATAAAGGGCGTTTTGGGTTTGGGCCCAAGGAGGATAAGACAAATGAGCCTAATACAAAGAATTTAAGTACGATGGATTGAGGAATTAAGCACTTATCCCTACAGGAACTAAATGAACACAGGAAGAAAGGACTATGTTCCAAATGTGGGGGTAAATATCATCCTCTTCACCAATGTCATGACAAACAATTGAAGGTCATGTTGTTGGAAGATGATGAAGCTATGGATGACAACGGAGATTTTCAAAAGGGTGAATTAAGTGACCTAAGAGACTCTGATTGTGGGTGTAGTATGTTGTTGTTGGGGAATTTGATCTACGATCATCATGATAGTCTTCAACAAGATAGCCCTCAAACCATGAAACTGAGAGGGAGTTTGAAAGGGATCCTAGTCCTTATATTGGTTGACGGTGGTGCAACTCATAATTTTGTTTCTAAGAGATTGGTGTCTAAGGTGGGTTAGGAGGTCAAGGAGACAAAAGAAACAAAGATTAAGTTGGGGGATGGGCATAAAGCGGCAGCAAAAGAGTACGAAAATCCCTAGATCTGAAATTAGCAGAAGCTGATTTTTCAATCGATGCATTTTTATTTGATCTTGAAGATATTGATTTGGTATTGGGGATGTCATGGTTACCACATTGGGAATTACAACTGTTGATTGGAAAAACCATAAGATGGATATTTGTTGGCAGGGAGGCATGGCTACAATTAAGGACAATGACAACAAACAGACTCGAAATGTATCTTTTTAGAGTGTGATAACTCAATCTACAAAGGTGGAAGAAGATTTATATTTTGCAACAGAGGTTCGTCCTCGAGCTCAAGTAGACAAAGGCAGCAGGATTTTGAACCCATCAGTGTGAGGAGTTAGAATTGGACAGATTTGGGAAAGTGTTTAATGACCCTCAGGGGTTACCTCCTAAGATGAATAAAGAGCATGTTGTTACTTTGCTGGAACGATAGGGCCCAGTGAATGTGAGGTCCTATTGATACCCTCACCACCATTAAGATGAGATAGAAAAGCAAGTGAGGGAGATGTTGCAATCAGGAATTATCAAGCCCAGCCAAAGTGCTTTTTCAAGACCAGTCCTTTTAGTTAAAAAGAAAGATAATTCATGGAGGTTATGCATGCACTACAGAGATTTGAACAAAGTTGCATTGCCAATTATTGATGAATTATTAGTGTTAGATGTTAAGTTGTGTGTTTATGTTAATTGGGCTTAGCCCATAATGTATTTAGGGTTTAACCCTTATCTTACATTATAAATAAACTACCCTATGTGTATGCTAAACACATAAGGGAGATTTCTCCTAATCTTCTCTACTATTTCACATGGTATCTAGAGCTTAGGTTTTGTTCCAGCCAGTTCCACAGTCTCCGGTACCCATCGCCGCCGCCGTTGCCGCTGCTACCGCCGCCACCATCGTCGGAGTTCCAGAATCGATCGACGACCACACCATCAGAATCGTCTCGGCCGGGCGACCACCGTGGTACAAAGATCGCGG